CACAAATGTGTCGAGTGTAGTCGCCTCAACTGTTGCTTTTTGGAAGCTTGTTCCAGTCCCCTATTGTCTTCGGCAGGAATGAGGAGCTCCTGTACTTTGTTCTTGTTTTTACCAGCCCGAACACTACTTGGTACACCACTGTTACACCACTTGGGAACCACTGATACACCACTTGGGACACCACTGATACTCCACTTGGGACACCACTGTAACACCAATTGGGACACCACTGATACACCACTTGGGACACCACTGATACACCACTTGGGACACTACTTATATACCAATTGGGACACCACTGATACACCACTTGGGACACCACTGATACACCACTGATAAACTACTTGGGACACCACTGATAGACCACTTGGGACACCACTGGTACACCACTTGGGACACCACTTGGGAGACTACTTGGTACACCTCTTGGTACACCTCTGGTACACCACTTGGGACACCACTTGGGACACTACGTATACACCACTTGGGACATCACTGATATACCACTTGAGACATTACTTGGTACACCACTTGGGGGACACCACTGGTACACCACTTGGAACACTACTTGGTACAACTCTTGGTACAACACTGATACACACTTGGTACACCTCTTGGTACACCACTGTTACACCACTGATACACCACTGTTACACCACTGTTAAACCATTGTTACACCACTGTTAAACCACCGTTACACCATTTGGGACACCACTGATACACCACTGGTACCCGTTATACTCCCCCCCACCCAATGAGGTGGACCTAGGGAAATCATATTAAGCTTAACACCAGTGATCTTTTGTTTTTATTTCAGATTTCTGCCAGTGAAGACCCCATGTCCGTGAAAACAGCTTTTGGGATGCTGTGTCACCGGGTGAGGGTCATCAATAAAAAACGTGAGAAGCTCTCCTGGACGCTGCAGAGGCCAGCGGTGGCCGCTAAACTTCATTTAAGACAATCTCTGAAAAATCTGGCAGAGAAAAAGTTATGGAGGTCACGAACATTCACGTTCTGACGAAACATTGTTGTTTCTGTGTGCTTCATTGAATTCTCCGTTGCGTATCTGACTACTGCTGTAGATATATTACTTCAGCTAATGACGCAATGATTGTTTTCGTATTAGGAAGTAACATTAACTGGCGAATGACAATACAAAACATTTGGAGTGTTGGTCTCCTAAAATGTTTAATCAAGATATAATGCATTTGAAAAAACACATAAATACACCTATAGGTCAGCCCCACTACTTGGCGTGTTATGACAAATTAAATTAAACGGCTTCATAAGAATATGAAAATAGAAAGTTATGTGGATTTAGTTTTTATATATTATATATTCATGATTTAAACACTGGTTTTGAAATATCAGTAAAACTTTCAATAATGTCTAATTCTTCGAGTGGTGTCGGAGGAAATAGGACACGATATGCCATATCTCTCCATCAGATGCTTCTGTCCATCGGGTGCATCGGGTGCTTCTGTCCATCAGATGCTTCTGTCCATCAGATGCTTCTCTGTTGCTGTTTCTCTTCGCCTTTCAACCTATATCACTCAGCGTCAAGTTCTTCATGGGGATTTTATCTGAGTGCTGTTACATGATGTGAGCTATGTGAGATGCGAGAGAGGACACCCATCCATCCCACGGCCCGCATGTCTTCTACGTCTCAGCACTACATAATGTCACTCACGACAGGACTCTCCATTTCATCATTGAGGTTGTCGTTGCCCAGAACGAAGATGCGGATCTTCTGTAGGCCTTAAGTCCAGAAAACCTGCCTTCAGCCATTATGGTGTTTTGCTCCTTATCCATCACTAGGACAAACATAGAACAATCAAGACACCATACGGTCTTTGTCATAGTGTTGGTGTTTACGTGTGTCCATGGATGTCAGCATTCCAAAGACTGATTTGTTTGGCTGATGCACTTTAATGATTTGTTTGGGGTAGTTTTCCATTATTATTATGATAATTGAGAATGGCTTTGAATGTTAGAGCTTTCAGGTGATATGTTGTTGTTTTTTTTTTGTTGTTTTTTTTTGTTGCTTTATAGTTATTTTATTTTAAATATTATATTTTGTTGTTGTTGTGTGTGTGTGCTTATATTTTTTTTTTATATTTTCAATTAATTATGCAAATGGAAAGAAAATAAATTTTAATTGAATAATAAATTATTACGATGTTTAATTAATCAGACCCCTGTAATGTTTGTTCTCGATATTACCTAATATTATGGAAATGTATCGCTAAGCCAGGGGCCTTATGTCTTTCGTAATTGTAAATACTTAGTGGTTGCTTTAGGTTTAGGTTCCCATACAACTATAAAAATTTAAAGAAATCTGGGGTGTCGGCATCCCCAGGCCTTGTGTGTTTGTGGGAGGGGGGGTGATATTTCATAAAGGGATACTTATAAACATGCAATGTACTTGTAAACATTAAATAAACTTATAAACATAAAATAAACTTATAAACATAAATTATGCCTCATTTAATGAGATAATGTCATTTAACTTGTGAAGTTATGTGCAAACATTTCCCCTGCCAAACTCAGGCGCAAATAGTCCAAAATATGCCATAGAAGAACGTGTGTCATTTTAACCTAAATTATGCCATGCCAATTGCTAATATAATAATAAAACCTTGCCAGGAGATCGGAAATGTCTCATTGTGGGTCTAATTCCAAGAATTCGGTTTGATTGCCCCATACAAATTGATTGGTACGAAAAAAATAAGACACGAATTCCAACATTTGAAAAAGTGCATAGAAAAAACTATATTGTGCATACAAATTAGAGCCATGGAGAAGTTTAGCATGCTCAAAATTTAATTGTTTCGGTTTTTTTGGGGGGTTTATTTTATTTTATTTTATTATTTTTTGTTTTTTTTGTTTGTTTTTGTTTATTCATTTCGTCTCTTTTAATGCGCAAAATTTATTTTAAAAATTCTTTACATCACGTGAGATGCAGTTATGGCGACCTCTTCGCCATGAAGGTAAACTGAAAGTTAATCACGTGTTTAGAAAGAGCAAGAGATGCTATTGGTTTCCTTACAGACAAGGGCATAATTTGGTTGATGACAATTCACCTGAAAGTGGTGGATTAAAAAGAGTCACTTAGGCATCCCATCCTCTGGCACATCCCACCCTCTGGCACATCCCACCCTCTGGCACATCCCACCCTCTGGCACATCCCACCCTCTGGCACATCCCACCCTCTGGCACATCCCACCCTCTGGCACATCCCACCCTCTGGCACATCCCACCCTCTGGCACATCCCACCCTCTGGCACATCCCACCCTCTGGCACATCCCACCCTCTGGCACATCCCACCCTCTGGCACATCCTACCCTCTCGCACATCCCACCCACTCGTACTACCATTTTCGAAGAATAACTTTAATAGCTACATAATATGGCCAATGTCATATAATTCGAGAGTATTTGACGTAAACATTCTAAAAAATGGACGTATGTTTCTGCTGTACGGTCCATTCTCGAAGCGTATTCTCGTCAACTGTAATGCATTTAATTTTTGTAAAAATTGATCCCACATTTGAACTTGTTACAAAACCATTGTAATCCGTTATTTTATATATAGGTTTTTCTTTCACCAAAGCTTAAAACAATAGCACATTGTTACCAGCAACATTTCAGACATCTCCACTGAGGGGTGTTGGGATCTGGCTTGATCCATTTCACTAGAACTGATTGTCCTATCAAGACTGTTCAACCAAACCAATTGTTTAGCATAAAAATCATAAAAATTTACAAAGAAAATTGACTTTTTTTTCTTTAATAAATAGCTGAAATGTACCGAAATGTGTTTTGATTGGCATCCCAGTGCTGCTCATTTTGTCATTTGAACCAACATTTAACATATTCATTGCATCATATTGTACCGTGCGCTCTTGTCATAGTGGAGAAAGTGTATTTTTGTGACTTTACTTCCTTTTGTTTTGCATAGATCAGTACATATGTTTTCTGCAGTTATAAACTGTGAGCTTTGATAGTATTTTTATTATTATTATTTACGCTCGGATCATGGGGGGGGGGGGGGGGGACGGGGGGGGGGGTTTGGAAAAATTNTGTTTCTCCTCCATAGAACGCTAATGACTAACAGCTAAATTTACCACCACTCTGGCTTCTTTCCAACATGCTGAAACTTACTATGTAAAAAAAAAACAGTTGAACCCTAAACAGTTTCATTGTAGAAACTGGGCCGTAATACACAATGGTAGGGGCGCCGGCACAAGGTGGGGGGGGGGTGGGGGGGAGAGAAACCAGCTGACTCCAATCGGAATAAAAATCCCCCCTCCTCACCTGCCTTTTGAATATCTCCAGGTGATAAAAATTAATGTAGGAGAGAAAACATTACAAATACTAATTTTTTATGATTTAAAGAAAATAAGCTTATTTTATTATTTTTTTTTTTTCGGTGGTGGAAGGGAGTAGTCTATTTCTAATTGTCAGGCTTTGGGAATGGAACTCCATTCCTATAGTATGGCACTACACGTGTTGTGACAACACAGACGCCTGGCGACCAAAATAAAAGGTATATGCTTACAAAAATTCATTATCACAGAATTTGATATTTGATTTGCTGAAAATATGAGGAATTATTGAACTGAGCTATTAGCGACTGTTATTGAATGGTCAACAAAGTTCCAAAAATTGTGTTTTCTGTAATTTTTTTGTATTTTAAATAATAATATTGAACTATCGAATTAAAACACCAATACCATGACTGGCATGACCCACACACAGATTTTACCAACTTCCACCGAAATGGAGAGGGGAGGGATTGACGCCCCTGCTCAACGGGCCCTGGTGCTATACCTAAATGACGCGGTACACGTCATGCAAGGTACACGTAATAATTGGATCGATCTCAGTGGTGGTCCCCTATTTAAAGGACTCAATCACCTTTGCGCTTAGCTGTGGATAAGGGAAAGCCCCTAGGGGAATTTCCGTTGTGTCTTGCGTGTTCAGTCTTAAAATAACATAATGACATAATTTACATTCGGTTTTTTTCTACTGGAGTATAAATACAATAATTCATCAGTAATGGATCAGTCTCGAGTTCGTTTAACAAGTTAAAGAAACTCAGTCAATCAAATCCAAGTGTGGCATCAATTCATCTATTAAACTGTAAGTTATAATTATAAGTTTTCCATTTTTATTGAATAGATCGTTCCATCTTTTTTCTGTTTAGTTTAGGTATGCGACCAGAAATTCGCTGTGCGTTCTTCTCTTAGTAATTAGTAAAGCACACAAAAAAAAAAGTTGGCCTGTATTAAAAAAAAAACCTGAAGTATTTAAATTAAGGTTGAAGTGTTACTGTTTAGAGCCATCTTTCATAATGCAGGAGATGATATTCTACTATTCGAATGCCAAGTGTGTTGCATATAACTGAATTATGAATGAACCTCTGGAAGAATCATTCATACTTTTTCTTTCTTAGTTAAAGCGATTTTACATAAAATAAAGAGAGATGCTTAGAAGCAGGGTTAATGCCACCCAGGGGGAGCCAAGCTTTTTGCCGCCCACCTCCAACGAAAACATTGAGCAGCTGGTCGGAAGTGCTGGCCCTCAGGTTCATTCGTACCCCTTTCTACGCCACTGCTTAGAAGTCTCCTCTAATAAAAAAAAATATTTTATTTTTAAAAAAAAGAAATGTTAAAATTATGTTCAATGTTCACAGCAAACATGTCACAAACTCACCTCAACCACGTGAATGGAACCCCAAATGAAACCAACAGACATTCTTCTGTACCTAACGGTCGCCCCATGCACCCTGAAGCCGACAGTGGCAATGGCCTGACAATAACAGCTTCGCTCAGCGAATCTCCCCGCTTCATGAGGAGGAATCTGCCAGCCGACCCCAATGCGAGTGTCACCAGAAGTCTAAAGCCCGGAGATCCTCCCACTACACACTCGGTTCTCAAACAGGGAAACGGGGAACTGAAAGTCGTCGAAACGCCTCCGGTGACTCACGTGTCCATGCTCCAGGGATCGGTGAACAGGCAAGCTGATCTCCTGGGAACCATCACCATAGGCGAGGCACACGACCCTCATGGAGGTGGAGTACCGTTCATTCCCCAACACCATGATAGGCCCAACCCACAACCATGTACTTTTCAGATATTCGTCAACAGTTTTAAAAACAGTCGAACCTACACATTTGACGTACAGAAAGACTACAGCGTTCAGCGACTGATGGATATGATATTTGATAAGTTAGACATCCCTCAAGATCAACAGAAGCTGACCTTTGGTTGTAAAAACCTCTTGGAGACAACAAAGACCCTCGGAGATTACGGCATTGAAGAACTTTCAACTGTTTTCCTCACACTCCGACTTCGTGGGGGTTAGATCTCTGATATGTTGGACTTTGTGGACAAACAACATGAACCTGATGGACTTTATGTTGTATGCATAATGTATCATGAGATGGCGAAACTGTTTATATGATATGCGTACTAGCGTACTTAGAAATAAATTGAGCGGTTTCAGAAGAGTTCACGCTACAGTTAGGAAAGAAACTTTTAAAAAGACACGAATTATCGATAGCTAGTTATTTGTGCCATCGTTTTCATTTCGATCTCATACAAAAATGATATAAAAGAACCTAATTTCAAATCTGCAACCACTTAATAACTAATGTGGTTTTGGTTTAATAATTTTAATTTTATAACTTCATACAGCTTGAACGGAAAAAAAATGATTAAATCATCAATTTAAAATTACAGAACTATGTTCATTTATATTTTTAAAAAAATGTTTTTTGTTGAATTATTCATACATGATCTTTGGTGTGTGCTTTTAGTTTTAAAATGGAATTTTAAGATTTTTCTAATAAACAGATATTTCAATAAATCACCCCGACAGCCGACGCAGAACTTATTTTAAAAATATTTAACATGGTATTTTTTAGTGACACACCTAAGAGAGTGGATCAGTGGCAACTAAGCCCAATGACGTAATTGGTTTTAAAGATAACCAACAGAGGCTGGCGAAATGCATTTTTCTTTCTTAGTTTTTTTTTTTTTTAGTAGTCTGCTAAGATGTGCGTTTTCTGTTGAATATTAAAAATAGTACAGTGTTGAGACCCGCTGGTCCTCACCTTTGTGAGACCCGCTGGCTCCACTCTCTCCATCGCTTCCCCACGCGTTCATCGCTACCCCACGCGATATGACACAATTAGGCTGGGCCTTAAAATAGTAAAAGTAGACTCAAATAACAATGGAAAGTAACTTATTCACTTTGGCCATGACCCAGTTTAAGCAATACACTCATTCTTATCAAGCGTCCCAACTCTGAGTTGTCACTCTGATGACCAACGTGTAACGGAATCCGAAGCCACGCTTGTGAGTCATTTAAACACGACTCTAGGATGCCACGCTTAAATGCGGGACAAGCACGCCAAACTTAGAGTATATATTGAAAGCCCAAATCATGTATCGGCCTCTCTTACCTGAATTATGTCAGAAGAGCCTGGCTGGCATAATTAGCTGATAAAGTGTGTTTATCCGATTGTGTCGGGTTAGTATGGTTCTATTTCATATTCATATGTACTGGTATGTAGAGTCGTAGATGTAATGTTATTAAGAAAATGGTAGGACCATAGTTACTATTGTTAATGTTTGAATATGATAACTATTAATAATTTATAATGTGATGTGATTTGTAATTCTTAGCTATGTCTTATGCATTGTATTTATTATTCTCATTTCTAGCCAGTTAAGTTAAGTTAAGTTAAGTAAATTACAGTAAAGTTAAGTAAAGTTAAGTAAAGTATAGTTACGTAAAGTGAAGTAAACTGAAGTTACGTAAAGTGAAGTAAACTGAAGTAAAGTAAAGTGAAGAAATTACATGAAATAAGTTACAGTATGTAAAATCAACAAGACGGTAGCATATACTGTGTGTGTGTTACCCACAGTAAAGTTCAAAGTCGGCACCTACCTCCTCGCAGTGCCAGTGACCGGAGACACTTACGCAGTCAAGCCGCCCAACCCCGCAGTACGTTGTGACCCGAGCAGAGGGCTGCTGTGGTGTGTGTGTGTGTGGGACTTACTTATTCGACCAGATCGCCATTGAGAGCCTACTATGCAATAATATTGGGCAGTATCTTGTTATCCTGTTTATGTGTATAGTATATGTAATTTGTATGCTGATAGTTCTGTTTTCTTATAATTAAATATTTATTTGTGGGCTGAACCACTCTTGTTTTATTAGTATAGTTAAAGTATTACTAGAATTGCAAGTGAGAGCTAGTGAGAGTTCATTGAATGATAGAGTGAGTGTGAAGTAGGATTAGTGTAGAATACTTCATCAGGAAATTAATCGTACCCTAGACATAACCATAATAGCAGTACTAATCTAACGTAGAGGAAAGGGACCTTTGTTTGTTAATACAAACATTAAACATTGTAAACACCCATACTTTTAACAATTGGGTCAGTACATTAATTAATTACAACACATCATAGTTTTGTAACACAAGTTTTGTAACATACAGGATTAGAATTCTTTAGAAATTTTCGCTTGATATCTGAAGACAATAATTAAGGTAATTTAAGGACTTTACTTTCCAATCTTATTTTAAACGCCTTTCTATCAGAAGTACAAATTGAGGCTAGTCCCACAACATTTTTTAAGTGTCTGTCTCGGTCAAGTTTTGAAAACGCTTGCTTTATACTTAAGAATTTAGTAATCCTAACAACAACACAAACAGCATCATACGTCTCATTTATAAATTATTTACCAGACTTCTGTTTGATTTCTTTATATTCTTTGTAAAAGTTGATATCCATTATTTATTGAAAAAAAAATATATTAAAAAACGTATGCTAATGACATTAAAATTTGTTTACTTCATTTATTTGTTAAAGGGAGCAATAACATTTTTAGTAGATCTCGAAGGAGAAGTATATATATATATATATATATATATATATATATATATATTATATACTAGCCAATATACCCGGCGTTGCACGGGATGGCATTAGGACCCCATCCTTATGTGACCCCGCTCCCAATGGAACTCAATTTGTTAAAGGGAGAAATAACATTTTTAGTAGATCTCGAAGGAGAAGTATACATATATATATATATATATATATATATATTATATACTAGCCAATATACCCGGCGTTGCACGGGATGGCATTAGGACCCCATCCTTATGTGACCCCGATCCCAATGGAACTCTAATCCCATTCTGACACCGATCCCGGCGCAGTTCCGTTTCCCCGTGTGATCCCGATCCCTTTGGATCCATTCAAGGGTAGGATCCCGATTTCGGTGGCATCCTAATCCCGATGGGATCCCGACCCCTTTGGGATCCCCCATAAAAAAAATTCTTCAGTGGTACTGAGATTACAATAAACTGCGAAGCAATATAGAATTGAATAGAATTAACTAACATTTCAATAATCCCTTAGATCTCACTATATATTCCGTTGTAACAATTTAGAACTTTCTGGAATATTCAAGATTAAATTTAATAGCCTCCTCGAAACATGTGTACAAACTACTTTTCTAATTATTTTTTAATACGATACAATCCTTAACAAATTACATAATTATAATCTTTTTTTTTTCTTTTAAGTTAATCATGGGGCCTCTAGGGGCCCATTCCATAACTGTAGCGATTTTGTTTTGCCTAAGATAGGGGGCCCTATAAAAATCATTCTGATAAATAATAAAATTAAAACTTAAAATTGGTCCCATTAAAATCGGTTCCAAAATGCCATAGATATAGCTTTGTAAAATTTTGGAACTTTCTGGAAAATTCTAGATTGGATATTCTTAGTTTTAAATCCACCGATATTTCATTACGGACAATGAAGGGTATTGCTACCAAGCTAGGCCTATATCCATCAATTCAAATAGAACCTAATGTGTTGTTTAAGCCTTTTGATATTATAAAGCTTAAATAAGGAAAAATAAAATGGGGCCCCCGGGCCCAGAAAATTGATATTATGAGTTCAGTACCCTTCAGTATTTGAATATGGATAATCAAGTATATGTGTACTAAGTTTGGTCAAGATACATCAATTCATGTAGGAGTACTAAGCTTCTAATATTTATATAGCTTATCTAAGAAAAAATGAAACGGGGCCCCGGCCCCAGAGGGGTGGATATTATGAATTCAATACCCTTCGGTATTTGAATATGGATAATCAAGTATATGTGTACTAAGTTTGGTCGATATCCATCCATTCATGTAGGAGTATTTGTTGTTAATTTTATTTATATAGCGCATATAAGGAAAAAAAAACGAATTCGGGGCCCCCGGCCCCAAACGGAATGTTATAAAAAGTTCATAACCCCTTAAGAGTTCCTTCCGGATAAAGATGTATATATGTGCCAAGTTTGGTCAAGATATTTCAATCCATGTTAAAGCCTTTGTGGAACAAACAGCCAGACAAACAGACAAACTTTCACATATGATATATGTAGGTTGGTCTAAACCGGGGCATGAAAAAAACAGTTTTGAAAACGCTATACTATAATATTTTTTGAATTCCCGAATTTAAAAACAGAGGGCAAAGTAATCGGGAGTTTCCGGTATAACTACTACATGTTCCGCGTTACAATAATCACTTGACTAGAGCACTTTTATCGTTTTCTGGTATGAAGTATATATAGTTGTAGTAGTTATTTATCATTTTGATATAAAAAGTGGCTAATACTTACAATTTAAAAGGTCATCGAGTCAAAGTGTAAGTGCATAAAATTCTAGTTGTAAGGTAAGTTAAATTTTTAAAATTGTTAGGCATGCCATGTGATTAAATCATGGATTATGACTTAAAATGTGAAAGGAATTTTAGTGAGTGTAATCATGGTCCTCCAGTGACTAGACCTGACTCATGAGAAAAAGTGAAGCAAGGTACCAAGATTCCCGCCTGCCAAAATTAGGATTTATTTATTACTAGGCCCCAACAATATTAATATATTATGTCAATTTATATGTATAATGCACAATATATTCTCACTCTAAGTTACTTCCCTTTGTCTGGGCCTTTGAATCGGCTTCATTCACAAAAACGCAGGGTCATGCAACTATTCAAATACAGACCAGTTTATTTATTATTATAATATATATATATATAT